TGACAATAGTTTTGATCTCGGTTCCCACTGCGATCTGATCTGATTGTGCCACCACCAGTTCGTCGGAAAGAATGACTTCTCCTAGTATGGTCGTCATCTTCTGTAGGGTTGAAAATGTTTGATTGATTTCTTTAATTTGAAGAATTAAGATTCGATAGCTCGATACAAATCTATTACAATCGCTCTCTCTCAATTACAGAGGAAGATAAGTTTTGATTTGACTTCTCTTTAATTTAATGTGGGTTCTTGGTGCGACGCTTCCCTCGATGCTCGTGCTGAGATTGCTTCCCATTGACGATCAGAACAAAATTGCTAAAGAGCTTGGATTGGTGCTGTAGATCTTTGAATGCTCTTTGTGAGCGTAGTTTGATCTCCGAAAATTCCCAAAAAGTCTCCCCCAAAGTCTCAGTCTACCCCTAATAGTTGTTTGAGACTATTTATAGGAGTTTATCATGTAACTGACATGCTAAAGTCATGGGAACATGGGCATAACCGATGCGGTTGCGGGGGTAACCGACGTCTACCACTTATCCCACATGGCTGTTGTGGTCTTCGGGACCATTAGAGCTCAATTTGAAGTGAGTGACGAGCTTTATTTAAGGTGAAGCTCGCCTTTGATGTCAAACCTCGCTGTGTTGGTGAACCTCGTCTTTGATATCGAACCTCGCTGTGTTGGCGAACCTCGTCTTTGATATCGAACCTCGCTGTGTTGGCGAGCTTTGACTTTGATGTCGAGCTTTGCTGCTGTGACGTCCCTGTGCCGACTCGAAAGGTAGTGATGATTGATTTGAAGTCCGAGACGAGACGGCCTTCATGTGTCGATTCGAGAGGCGGTGATAGTCGACTTGAATTCTGAGATGAAATCTCCTTCGTGTTGACTCGAGAGGCGGTGATAGCTGACTCGAAGTTTGAGACGAGACCCGTCATTCGTGTCGACGAGAGGCGGTGATAGTCGACTCGAAGTCCGAGACGAGACGACCCCCTGTGTCGACTCGAAAGGCGGTGATAATTAGCTTGAAGTCCAAGACGAGACCTCCTCCATGCCGACTCGAAAGGCAGTGATGATTGATTCGAAGTCCGAGACGAGATGACCCCTTGTGTCGACTCGAAAGGTGATGATCATAGGCTCGAAGTCCGAGACGAGACGACCCCCTGTGTTGACTCGAAAGGCAGTGTTAATCGGCTTCGTTGCCTTGTCGAGACGGAGCCTCGTTGTCTTGTTGAGCCTCGCCTTTCTGGATTTCAACTGAACTTCGACGTTCGTCTTGGCTAATGAGGTCCATTATAATGAGTTGTGACCCTCATCTGCCTCTTGGCAATTTTTGAGTGCCTACAGTCCATTGGTTCACTTGCCAAAATCAGCTTTTGAGTTGGTTTTGGATTCTATTCACCTCGTTCTTATTCCGTGGATGTATATTTATGTACTAGATCATCTCAAATACAAGTAACACTCAAATGAATGTTTATTACTACTCAAACAAGAGATATTGTATAGACAATGTCTAATCTCCTGG